TTCTGCCTCCTGACCTAGGACAGCCTCTGCTTCCTGCTCACAGCCTCGCTCCATTGTTGTGTGCTCTCCTGATGGTACTGTTCAAATGGGTTTCTTTGCAAGAACTGACAGTCTCCCACTTCTATTAAAGCCTCTGGGCTGACCTGAAGCCCTCTGGTGGTGTTGGCCTAAAGCCCTTGATGTTGACCTGAAGCCCACTGATGCTGTTAACTGAAGCCCACTGATATTGTGGACCTGAAGCTGGCTGAAGCATTGGATCAAGTTGTTGGTTAGAAAAGCTGCTGCAAGCTGCTTACCAGACCTCTGGATGAGCCATGAATGGGCAGAAAATAGAGTTTTAGATAAGTTGTAAGAGGTTCTATGGAAGTTTTCATATCAGTGTTGTTCTCAGCTGCCTCCCCAAATGGCCTAGAGACTGAGTGTGAATGCCTGAGCAGTACTTTCCACTAGAAGATCTCCTTCCATTTGGTGCTTGTTCATGCAAGATAAGGCTAAACAGTGCTATTACTCCCGGGCTGTGTGAAGGCTGATAAAGAAGTCTATCTATGCTGTAAAAGTCAGTGCTATAAAAGTAACATCATTAATTTCACCCTGTTAATTGGAAAAAGGACTTTCCACAATCACTAACTAGCAGCTCCTTGATAAAGAACTGTAGTTAGGAAGACCAAGGGGAGCCATAATCAGCAAGTCTGATCCCAAATCCTTTTCTAGAGATTGCTCCCACAGTGTTCTTACAGTTCTTGGTCTGGGATCTGATTTTGAACTGAGAAGAACAGCGATTGTAAGACTAAAGCTGAAATTCAAACTTGAATCACCCTTTATCCCAAATCCTACCCTGATCCTTTCAGAATTCTGAATTTCAACATATTATCTTGATCTCAGAGCCAGACCTGGTGACATTCACACCCTGGAGATGTCCTAACTAGCTTAGTTGTCTTGTCCTTGCTACCTGCTAGTGGGTTTGTATTGCAGAAGGTGCTCCAAAGTCACTGCAGTGACTCTGGATGTGGCTGGAAGAAAACACATAAAGCATCTTTATGGTCAACAAATAGTTATGATTTAATTGAGCATTAGAATACACAAGAAAAAAATTGTTCTTTTTGAGTTACTTATTTGTTTCTTTTTAGGAATTAAATAATTAGGAGCTGTCCTATAAGGAATGTGGGGTTGATCTTTTAACAACTCATAGAACACATTTGAAACGTTAGGGCTTTGTTAGGAAGACTTCCTTAGGAAAGCATCTACTAGAAGAGCCCATGGCTAGGACATTGCAGCTTGTTACAGGAAGAAAACGATGTCTTTGCCCTAATGATGACCTAAAACCCAGCCAGTGTCACCAGCCCTTGTAGCAAGGAGTGATGGTGCCTGGAGATACGTCCTGATGGCTCTGAGCCTCCCAAACCCTATTTCAGGAAGCAGCTGGGATCTCAGACTCCTCAAATTCATACTTAAAGGAAATAAATGCAGTGCAAGTCCCCTGATTGCCCTTGTGCCTCTGTCTGGAAACTCGGGGCTAGATTTCTAGTTAGTTCACAAAGCTGGCACAGACCCACTGCTGAAAGTCAGGGCCAAAGCTTTGACCTACCTCAGCCAGAGTGCAGGAGAGGCACGTGCTTTGTAGAGGGTTGAAGCACCCTATTGAAGGGCACTGTGTGTGTTACCCTCATCGAGATTGAGCTCAGTGCAAGATCCAGCTCACAACAAGGTGTCTAGTGATGCTGCCAGACTTTGCCAGCTCCTTTGAGCCTGTGCTCTGCCCTTTCTTGCCTTGTCCCTAGCAAAAGCTGTTGTCCAGGCAGATACTAGTGATGAATGGGAGTATATAGGACATCTGATTTCAAGTTGCTTTTTTTTCTCTCTCTAACCCCTTGGTATTTTTATTCCCACTCTGTCCTGCATCCTTCCCCAGCCTGTTCCCTTCCCACATTTCTCCATCTCTGTACTTCTCCCCAGACACATGCTTATTTCTGTGCTTCCCAAAGCTTCTCCTGCCTTTTCCACACTTCAGCTAATGCCTTTCTCTTCCAACTCTCTTTGACCACCCTGGTCCTCCAGCTTCTGCTCCAGTCCCCACTAACAAGAAGCAAAGCCAGTCCTTTCCTGCCTATTGTTTTATTATCTGCCCTGAAATAAGCTCCGTGTCTCTAGCTTGTGACCTCTCTCCATTGCCAAGTGCTCCTGCAGCCAATGATGTGGTTAAACAAATCCTGGCAAGCTCCCAGCATGATTTACAGCTTAATAGTTTGTTTGTGTCTCATTACAGTGCAAATGAATGAGCTTTATCAAGAGAGAAGGGGAACAAGATTTCACCTCATTATTTACAGAGAAACTAGTTCGTTATGGTCCTCAGAAAGCTGGGAAAAACTGGACTGAAATAGCTGTGTTTGTTTGAACCATTTTGATGGCTAATTGTAACCTGCAAGGGGCCCTTGTGTGACGGATCACTGCATATTGCCCAGGTTGGAGACAAAGCCAAGCAAGGTCATGGGAACTTTATATCCACCTTAGTTTGCAGTTTTACTGACACTTCTGGAACATCTCCTGTTAAGCCTAATGTCACTTTGGTGCTACTTCAATACAACGAAGCAGATTGCTTCAGACTTCCAGGGCTCTTTGTCAGGGATCTGTTGGTTCTGCTCCAGTTGAAGGGTGGAGAACTTGCACATCAAGGCACATATGAAACAGCTCAAATTCCAAGATAGAGGCTGGAATTTCTTGGAGGAAGGGAAGAAACAATCTGAGCCAGAGAGGCTTTGCCTGGAAAAATAACCAGCATCTTCCATTTTCACCAGGCAAACTTTCTGCACATAGAAGTTCAATGAGTAGGAAAAACACAAGGCTAGTTACAAAGGGTTGGTGACCTGTTCTTTGCAGAACAGACCTTTTTCCCTTGCAACAGCAAGGACACTGCATGACGCTTGGAAATCAGTTCTGACCATTGTTTTGCACAGCTTTTATTCTGGATTTGAGCAACTGAACATTTTTCATGAAAAGGGAATTCTTCAAGAGTGAAAGAAGCAAATAGCTGGGGAAGAGCTGATATCAAGATCTTTCCTGTCCCCCTTTTCTTCCCTTTAGAACCTTCTGCTAAGGTCTTGGGGGGAAAATGCCCGTTTAAGAGCTGGTCTTTCCTTCTGCAGCTGGTTGGTTGCTCTCCTGGAAGGTTCCAAGTTCTTCCAGCCACCATCAGTAGCAGTCGTTGTCTCCTTTTAGGCCAGGCTGTTGTGTTGGCAGTTCTTTTGGGTTTATAGCAGAAAACCAGTCCTTCCAGTAGACTGGTCAGTGGCAAGCAGGAAAGCCAAGCTGCTAAAGCAGGACTCTTCACCCAGGCTGAGCTACTGGTTTCTCTAGGTATTAAAAAACAACTTCCCATGAAGAAAAGTAAGAGAGAGAAGAGGGAACAGTGCTAGGGAGGAAGAGGCATCTGTATTAAGAAACAAGAACTGGAGGGGTGAAAAAGTATGAACTGTCAGAAAAACAAGATGAATATTTAAAAGATTGCATTGCTGATGCTACTCCGTGCTTGTGGTCATCCTTGCTGGAGCAGGGACAGGGAGATACATTCAAGGAGTCAGAAAGAGATGCATGTATTAAGGCAGTCTTCATGTTAGCCACAATTCCAGGGTAGCTCGTTACTACCTGTCTGGGATATTACAGCATCCAGAAGGATGTTATTGTTTATGTTATTAGAAACCAACTATATGATTTGCTCAAAGTCTGCTTGAGCTTCAGCCACCCCAGGGACAGTGGGTTTTCATCCTAAGCATTCCTAGTGACATCCAGGTGTTGCCAGCTTGGGGGTGGGTGAGAACACCAGAATAAGCCCTCTACAAACCTTAAGTATTACTAACTAGCTTAAGTTGCAGTCTTGCCTATGAATTTCCCATCTGTAAGGAAAGATATAATCTCATTTTATTCTCCAAAGAGGGCAGGGGGGAGGAATCCATTTATTGTTTGAAGTGGCTGGCTCCAGTCCTGTTCAAGAAGCATCTTGCTGATTTTGTGGGACTCTGTTAGCATTCAAGGATTTGATAGAGAAGATCCAGTTTCAGAGCTGGGTAAAGCGATGAGGCTTTCAAACTCCTAACTTGAGTATCCCTATTGTGTGTTTTGAGTCAGTGATGAGGCAGCTGTTGGAACTGGAGACTGCTTTTGAAACCATGGCCCTTTATCATACACGAAAGGGTATTACAGCTGAATCTAAAGCCCTTGATTTACTTGGGATCAGGCTGCCTGTTAGAGAAGCACCTGGAGCTGTTCAACCATATCTCTTGATAAGCCATGAAGGAAGTTTGGTAATTAGGTGTTGGGCAGAAAATAGAGTTTTAGGCAGCATGTTAGAGGGTTCTCCAGCCTGGTCAGTTCTGTTTTCAGAAGGGCTAGGCCAAACGGTTGGGCAGCTCCTCCTTTTGAAGGGACAACTCCTCTTACTGGCTGATTGGTCCCAAGAGAGGGGTAAACATGTGCCACTGCTCCTGGCCTCTGAGAAGCAGAAACAGGCTTGGTCTGTGCCAGGCATGTGCAGGCAGGTGGAACCATGGGGTTCTGCAGGACGCTGAACTGCTCTGGTGTGAAAAGACCATTTGTGGTTACACTGGAGCCATCGCCAGCAATTAGTAAGTTTTCCTTATGTGACTTAACGTTGGTCTTTTGTGTAATGCGTTGACAACCATAATGCTGTGCCAGATCTGGTGCTCGTTAAAGAGACAAAGCCCCAAGATCTTCCATGGACCCCTAGAAATAGGGGTTGGTCATAAAAATACAGCTATAGTGACCCTGCTGAGAGGGGGTTAGACATTAGTTGTGCAGGGTCAGTGTCGTGGTTTATGCCCAGGTTTAAGACTGGGGTGCCTTGGGTTGTAAATGCTCATTGAAGCCAACTCTTACGAGTGTCTGAATCAGGGGCTCATGTGGTTTAGGTAGGATTAGAAGGAAGCTTATGAACAGAAGGTGAAGGTTGGATATTAATGCTCCTTTTTTCACCACTCTTCCTCTCCATCCTCTCCCAACCTTTCATTTTGTGCAATATTGGCATCGCTTTTCATCCTCTGAAGCATGTTTTAGTTCTGTCTGGATTAAACAGGTTGCCTGAGCCCATCCCCAGTAGCAGCTGACAAGACAGGAAATTCCCCTCCAAATGTTCAAGTAGATATAGACTGAAATCTGAGAGTAAAAGACGTGTGTGATTTCCCCCCCGCACACCCCCCATCCCTCCCGGTCACTCACACCTCCCCATTAAGATTCATGTTCATTTATGGAGGTAAGCATCCAGCCATAGATCTCCAGATTTCTTTAGGGACCTGTGGGAAGAAAATGAAGAGAGGTTTGTCTGCTGTGTGAATCTTGCCTTTTTTCCTACAAAGGAGCCTTTTACTGAGCTTCAATATGAATCCTTAGGACACCAAATGTCTTTCCCCAGTAGAGCAGATACAGCAAGAAGTGAGCAAGAACTTCAGCTGATGCCCACTGTGTTACTCACAGCCACTCTGGCCCTGAATAAACAGCAGAGCAGTATTGCCTGGGCTTACCATGTTGCACCTCTGAAGGTGTTTCCCTCCTTCCCTCCTGGGAATTCTCATGCAGAATTTCTCATCTGCACCAGCTCTGCAAATATTATATGACAAATCTGAGCTGGTTTGGGCCCAAAAGTCATAGAATCATGGAATGGTTTGTGTTGGAAGGGACCTTAAAGCTCATCAAGCTCCAACCCCTGCCACAGGCAGGGGCACCCTCCCCCCGCGCCGGG